CTGGACGGGGGGGGGCCGCGGGTAGTTAGAGCGTCCAAGATGGCCCAAGACGGCTCCAAGAGCGCCTCAGAGAACCCAAAATTGAGCTCCAAGATGGCTCAAGATAGCGCAAGATCGCTCACGATGGCTCCTGAGATGGTTCCAAGAAGCCCAAAGACGGCCCCAAGATAACTCCAAGTGGCCAAACAGCTCCCCAAGGAGGCCCCGAAGAGGCCAAAATCGTCCCAAAACCTAAGGAAAATCAATGATTTTTGCTTTCTCGCCTTTTCGCTTCCGATGGCCATCCGAGGCCTGGAGATGGCTCCAAGATGGCCCAAGAGGGCCCAAGAGAGCCCCAAAAGAGCCCCAAGACGGCCCCAAGAGCGCCCAAGAGCACTCCAAGAGCGTTCCAAGAGGGGTCCAAGAGGCGATTTTTGGGGCTTCCGAGGGGGGGCGCTAATTAAACCCCCCCTCTTGTTTGATCGACTCCCTCCAAGATGGCCCCAAAAGCGCCCCGAAGGCTCCCCAGAGCGCCTCAAGAGGGTCCCAAGAGGCGCCCAAGATGCCCCAAGGCGCCCTAAAAGCCCTCCAAGAGGCCCTCAAAAGACCCCCAAGAAGCTCCTTCCCCTCCTCCTCCTCCTCCTCCGATTCTTCCTCCTTCTCCGTCCTCCTCCTCCTCCTCCTCCTCCTCCTCCTCCTCCTCCTCCTCCTCCTTACCTCTCCGGATTCGACGACGACGACGACGACGACTCTCTTCATCACTCCCCCTTCGGGGTCTGATGACAGGTTCCCCCGCCCTTTGTTTATTACCCAGCCCTTTGTTTATTCTGCATTCTCCTCCACTTCCCCTGATCACCTCAAATCCCCTGTGCATCGTTTCTGGATGGGCTGGTGGGGATACGCGAAGGTCAACACATCCAAAAACGACGCTCGTCGTCACACCACAACCAGCTTCCCGCCCTATGACGTTCGGACACTTCACTTCGTGGCATGCGGACGACCGTGGCTACTATTCAGGGCCCCGCGGCCGACGACGACGGCGTGCGCGCGCGAAGAAAAAACGAATGTGTCCCGCATGGTATTATTTCACAGGGATGATGGCCCTGGCAGGTGCGCAACCGTTGTTGCAGAAGTTTGAAAAAGTTGCTCGCAAAAGCCCGTTTGACAGAAATGTTTAAAAAGTGTTGGGTTTCCTACGAATCCGCAAGAGCGCGCGGGATGAAATTTTGACACTTTTTTTTGAAAAACCATTGGATTTTTGATGTTCTTATGTTAAAATCGCTACGAACACTAAGGTTTTGGAAGGATTTCGTCTTGCGCGCGCGAATGTCCACTTTACCTTATTTTTTTGCAAGGGATTATTGAAGTTTGGTTATGTTAGAACAAGAAATGTCCACTTTGCCTATTTTTTGCAAGGAAACCGCCCGTAACAAAAAACAACTCGGATCCGGACCAACCCGTTTTGCTGAGTACTTCCTCACGAAAATGATGAAAACGTGGCTGCGGCCTAGGCGCGGCGAGGGGGTCGTGCACCAGGGGCCCCAACAATAATTATTCTTTAGAAGTAATAAATGTTCAACAACAACAACAACAACAACAACAACAACAACAACAACAACAACGCATCAAGCAGAATCCTCACCACGGATCCCGACGCACCCAGGGACAATAATGACCGTTCGGCCCCCTCACTCTGATCAATGTATGTGCATTTGTGTATATATACATGCATAGATATAAATGGTTATGTGGATAACTTTGTAAACATATCGATTTAAACATCTATAGATACCTATACAAGTATAGATATACACGTCGATTTGTATATGCATCTCCTTCGTTCTCCCTCTCTCGAGGTTCCCCAATTATCGAAAACATGTCCCAGGTCCAGCGTTCCTGTTACCCTGTTCCCAGCTCTTCGATCCCGGCTCCTGGTTCCTGACTCCTGGTTCCCGGTTCCCGGATTCCGGTTCCCATTTCCCGGTTCTCGGTTCCTGAATCCCGCTTCCCTTCGCTATTGCTCCATGGTGAAGGGAGGAGGAGGAGGAGCAGGGGAAGGAGGAGGAGGGGGAGGAGGAGAAGGAGGAGGAGGAGAAGGAGGAGGACAAGGAGGACAAGGAGGAGAAGGGAGAGGAGGAGGAGGAGGAGGAGGAGGAAGGAGGAGGAGGAGGAAGAGGAGAGCAGAGTTGGGAGAGGAGGATGAGGAGGAGAGAAGGGAGAGGATGGGGAGGAGGGAGGAGGAGGGGAGGTAGGGGAGGAGGTGGAGGAGGAGGAGGAGGAGAGAGAGAGAGTGTAGGAGGGGGTAGGATGGAGGATAGGATGAAGAGGAGGAATGGAGGAGGAGGAGGTGGAAGAGGAAGAGGGGGGGGAGGAATGGAGGAGGATGAGGAGGGGGGGGAGGAGGAGGGAGGAGAAGGAGGAGGAGGGGAGGAGGAGGAGGGGGAGGGGAAGGAAGGAGGAAGAGGAGGAATGGAGGAGGAGGAGGAGGAGGAGGAGTAGGAGGAGGAGGAGCAGGAATGGAGGAGGAGGAAGAAGAAGAGGGAGGAGGAGGACGAGGAACAAGGGAGGAGGAGGAAGAGAGGAGGAGGCCCAGGGGAGCGCACCCAAAAGAGCCCGCAGGGAGCGCGCACGCTCCGCCCCGCGCCCGCGGGAGTGCGCACGGGCGCTGGACTCCGTCGGCGAGCCGGCCGATCGGCCCGAAGTCAGAGAAGCGGCCAGAGGGGCAGAGGGGGGCTCCCAGGATCCCCCTCGAGTCAAGGAAAAATCACGACGGGAGGTCTTTCGCTATTTTCGGCCTCTGGGGTCCCTTGCCGTCGGCCACACGCAAGAGTGACCCTGGGTAAGAGTGACCTTTGGTGCGCGGCCTGTTGGGGGCCGCGGGGAGACCAAACCTGGGCGCGCAAGCCGCTGCTACCGGTTCGTTTTCAGCCATCTGAGGGCCCATCTGTGCCCGCACCAAAGGTCACTCCGGCGAAAGGTCACTCTTACGCCTAGTCGATCCCGGGCCTCGAGGCCGTGGGGGAACGACTCGGGACGAAAAACCAATGGGTCGAGACCTCTGGGTGTCGACGTCATGAAAAAATCATGAGGTCGGGGTCTGGGCGGACAAAGGGGGAGGGAGAGATATACACGTCGGTGCCTAGGAAAGCAGAACATCCTGCAAGAACATGAGACCCTCCGCTGGCCAAAACAAACAGAACATCCGAGGGTGTCCTCCCCAAGATGCGCTAGAACACCCAACAGACACGAAGAACAGTAGGGCACCCTCCCCGAACTGACCTCGATCTCATACCTCGGGCCGACTGTACATCGATCATGCTTCCCCCTGCGTAGCGTTCACAATCGTTCGTTTCTCTCACGGCTTGCACCGTGAAGCGGACAAGGAGGTGCGGAATGAAAATAAACAAGTTGAACAAATGTGCTTTTCCGCATCCCTTTGATGCGGCCGGCCTCTGGTCGAGAAAGCGGTCGATGAGGTTGACGGTGAGGAAGAGCGTCTCCCGCTTCAGTTTGTGCTTCATGCCGACCTTCGGTGGCGAGCCCGATGGGAAGCAGAGCGGGCGGGCCGTTTCCAAAGGCTCGGGATGCCTCGGGCATCCTGTAAGTTTTCTGAGCCTTTATGCGAAAACAAAGAAGGCTTCTCAGAAGGCTGGAAAAGGAGAAGGAGGAGGAGGAGGAGGAGGAGGAGGAGGAGAGGGAGGAGGGCGAGGAGGGGGAGGAGGGGGAGGAGAAGGAGGAGGAGGAGGAGAAGGCGGAGGAGCGAAGAGGAGGGAGGAGGAGGAGGAGGAGGCTTCTGCCGCCCGCGCGCTCGCGGGCTCACTCGCGGGGCGCCCCCGCTGCGAAAGCCCACAGGCCGCTGACTTCACGCCTGCGAAGCCGCAAGAGCAAATCGAGACGCGTGAACCTGTAGACGCCAGGAGGAACAAAATGATTCGCAACTCTGGCACTCGGCGTCGCCTATGATAGCGGGGAGTGGTCGAGCATGTCCTCCTACAGGCGGATCGTGGGCGAAACGTTTGAAAATGCCTGTGTATGGCTCTTTTCTTCCAACAACAGGACGAGTTCTAACCGGCACTGCCTTTCTCCTCGTCGAAGCTCTCCGGCGGCTTCATCGAAAGGCTGATCTTGCCCGCGCCGACGTCGACGCTGACCACGCGCACCTTCACCTCCTGGCCAGGCTCGAGATCCTTCCCAACGTTTTCCACCAAACCGTCCCTGCTCTGCGATATGTGCACCAGGCCGTCCGCCGTGGCGCCGTCTGGCGCCGTCACCTCCACGAAGGCCCCAAAGGAGGCGCACCTGGCCACCTTGCCGGTGAGCCACTCGTCCGGGCTGACCGACTCGAAGGTACTCAGGACAGCGAACGCCATCGTTGACAGGCTCATCCTCGTCTTGCCCCTGAAGGTGTTGACGCTGACCACGCGCACCTTCACCTCCTGGCCAGGCTCGAGCTCATACGCCACGTTCTCCACGTGGCCGTCCTTGATCTGCGTGATGTGCACCAGGCTGTCCGCCGTGGCGCCGTCTGGCGCCGTCACCTCCTAGACGGCCCCAAAGGAGGCGCACCTGACCACCTTGATGGTGAGCCACTCGTCTGGGCTGACCGACTCGAAGGCGCTCAGGTCAACGGGCGGCATCGTCGACAGGCTGATCCTCGTCTTGCCCCTGAAAGTGTTGACGCTGACCACGCGCACCTTCACCTCCTGGCCGGGCTCGAGCTCATACGCCACGTTCTCCACGTGGCCGTCCTTGATCTGCGTGATGTGCAGCAGGCCGCCCGCCGTGGCGCCGTCTGGCGCCGCCACCTCCACGAAGGCCCCAAAGGAGGCGCACCTGGCCACCTTGCCGGTGAGCCACTCGTCCGGGCTGACCGACTCCAAGGCGCCGCCCTCCTTCGTGCTCAGGCTCATCTTGCTCGCGCCCACGTCCACGCCGACCACGCGCGCCTTCACCCTCTGGCCCACCGAGGCGTAGCCGCTGACGTCATCCACGGCAGCATGGGCTGCCTGGGACACGCGGCACAGGCCCTGCGCCTCGGTCCCGTCCTCCGCCGCCAGCAGGAGGAACGCACCGAAGGCCAAAGTGCTCGGGACCCTGCCCTCGAACCGCTCGTCCGGGGACGCGCCGAAGAAAGGGGTGACGTCGCGCTCGACGCGGCGCCTGCGGCGGGCGCCGCGTCGAGCGCCGCGTCGAGCGCCGCGTCGAGCGCCGCGTCGAGCGCGGGGGGGCGGGCGGCCCGCCCCCCGCGCTGTCCGTCGGGCCCTCGATCATGGTCAGGCCGAACTTCCCGTCGCCGCGCAGGCCGCTGATCCAGACCTTGACCTCCTGGTCATCCAGGAGCATGGAGATGTGCACCAGCCCGTCGCTCTCGCCTCCGACGTCCACGAAGGCGCCGAAGTCCCCCACGGAGCGCACGGGCCCCTGGAACTCCTGGCCGACCTCGAGCGAATCGAACGGGATGGGAGGGATCTTCATGTCCGTCCGGCCCTCGATCATGGTCAGGCTGATCCAAACCTTGACCTCCTGGTCATCCTTGACCACCTAGTGGATGTCCTGGATCCTGTCCGTGGAGACGGCGGAGACGTGCAGCAGCCCGTCGCTCTCGGCCCCGACGTCCACGAAGGCGCCGAAGTCCCCCACGGAGCGCACGGGCCCCTGGAACTCCTGGCCGACCTTGGGCGAATCGAACGGGATGGGAGGGATCTTCATGTCCCGCGCCCTGGGCGCGGCGACGGCCGCGCGAGAAGGCCGGCAGGACCCAGCGGCTCTCCTCCACGGCCTCGCCGCCAGCGCGCCGCCCCCCGCCGCCAGGAAGGCCAGCGGGCCCTCCAGCAGCCGGCAGGCGCCGGCGAGCGCCGGCGCCGCGGCGAGGCCGCGCCCCCGCCCCCGCCGGCCGGCCGTCGCGCCGGGTGCCATCTCTGGGCAGAGCGCGCCGCGAAAGGGGCTGGAACCAGAGAGGAGCCGCGCCCGGCGCTCGGCCGGCCTTTGGGCCGAAAGGGCTTGAGCCAAACTGGCTACGGCAGAGGAGGAGGAGGAGGAGGAGGAGGAGGACGAGGAGGAGGAGGAGGAGGAGGGGGAGGAGGAGGAGGAGGAGGAGGAGGGGGGGAGGAGGAGGAGGAGGAGGAGGAGGAGGAGGAGGAGGAGGAGGGAGGAGGAGGGGAGGAGGAGGAGGAGGAGGAAAGAAGAAGAAGGGGAGGACGTGTGGTAGGAGGAGGAGGAGAGGAGGAGGAGGAGTAGGAGAGGAGGAGGAGGCGGAGGAGGAGGAGGCAGGAGGAAGAGAAGGGGGGGGGGGGAGGAGGAGAGGAGGAGCACTTCTGAGAAGCCCCGTCGCCTTCTGGAGGGTCTGCCCCCCTTCTCGCTTCCCCCGCGCGGACGCGCCGCCGAGGCTCTTGCGCTGTGCGAGGGGGTCCGCGAGCGTGCGCGCTGGGTATGTTTTTTGTGCGGCGTGGCGACCCGGAAGGCGGCACGCGCTGCGGATCGCAGCCCCGAGCGCGAATCGAGCCTGGCAGGACACGTTGACATCGCATCACATAGCATGCACATGCACCGCATAGATGACACCACATAGAGTGCACCACATCTGCTCCAGCACACGGACTGCACCTGACACGTTCCCCGATGTATATATGTGATATCTGCATTGTACCTCCAGAAAAAATAATTCGCTGTGGCCCACTCTGGCAAACATGGCGTGCTCAACACACGCTGCTCGGGACTTGTGCGCCACAGCACGCAGCGGCACGAGCCCTCCTTTCCGCCCGCTGCCACTGCTCCTGCCGCCAGAAACCGCCGCTGCTCCTCCTGGCCCCCCTCCGTCTGCTCCTGCTCCCACGCATCTGGAGGAGTGCAGCAGGGGCCCGTCCACAAGAAAGCTTCCACAAGAACCCCAACTCTGAGACCCCACGACATCCAGCGGTCTTGGGTCTGGGAGCGCCGCCCTCACCATCGAAAAAAACCATCGAAACCTGAGAAGCCCAGGGCACCCTGGAGGCAAGCAGGGTGGTCCTTGGCACGGGCCTCCACTGCAAGAAGATCTGTGCAAACAAGAGGTGCCGGAGCTGCGCGCGGATTCCCTCGGTCTGCGCTGGAGCCCCCTGCCTGGCGCGCGGAGCGAACCAGGGACGGCGTCGGAGGCGCCGCCAGGGTGCGCCCAGCGCCGACCAAGAAATGCGCACGAAGCTCCGAAAACTAATGTTTACGCATTGCTTTTTCTTCTTCTTCTTCTTCTTCTTCTTCTTCGAACACCCTCATCAGGCAGCCTCTACCAACCAGTCCACCAAAATGGCCCTCATCTTGGCGTTGAGGTCGGGCTGCCTGTCCATGTAGTTGCACCTCGGCCAAAATCTTCCGTGGAGCTGGCTCCGTCCCAGGGGCACGAGAGAAAGGAGAAGGAGAAGCGCCTGCCATACCTTCATCCCTGGCCAAGAACCGCATTGGAGGGCCTCCAGACAGCCATACAGCACACACATACGATAAGACCTATTGCCACAAGATCGGCCACCGTGCCTTAAGCACGTAGTGGAGCGTCCCAAGGCCCCGACCCCCAGTTCCCCCGGCGCTGACGGAGATTTGCGGGTGCTCCTGGGGCGTGTCGCGCGTGTCTCCAGAAGCGCCTCCGATGGTGAAAGAGGACCCCAGATCGGCCACAGAGCTCTCCAAGAAGTAACGATGGCTTCAAGACGGCCCTACATGTTCAGGAAAAAGGCCCAAAAGCGCTCCAAAAAGATCCCCAAGAAGGCCCCAAGAAGTCGAAATCATTGATGTCCGTTGGTGTTGGCTGGATTTCGAACGTTCTCGCATTTTCGGGCTTCCATCGCTCCACCACGGCCCGAAGGGCCCCAAAGATCGGCCCTTGCCCAAGAGGCCCCCGAGGGGGCCCCAAGACAGCCCCAGAGGGCGCCAAGACGGCCCAAGAGGGCGCCAAGCAAGACGGCCCAAGAAGCGCCCAAGACGGCCCAACAGGCTCGTCCCAACCCCCCGAGAAAATCCCAAGAAGCGCCTCAGATGGCCCAAGAGAACCGCAAAGCGGCCCAAGAACGCTCCGCTATGCTCAAGAGAGCCTCAAGAAGGCCCAAGAGGCTCCCGAACGCCCCAAGAGAGCTCCAAGAAGACCGCCAAGAGGGCCCCCCGAAGCGAATGTCATTGATGTTCCATGGGGCGTTGCAGGACGTTAACGTTCTCGCCTTTTCGGGCTACCGACGCTCCAAACGGCCCAAAAGGCCCCCAAGATCGGCCCAGGACGGCCCAAGAGGCCCCCAAAGTGGGCCCCAAGACGGCCCAAAAGGTCGCCAAGACGGCCCAAGGCGCCCCCGAGAGGGCCCCGAGACGGCCCAAGAGTGCGCCAAGACGGCCCTGGAGGCCCCCAGCACGGCCCAACAGGCCCCGTCCGACCCCTCCGGCAGCGTCCCGAGAAACGTCTCAGATGGTCCAAGAGACCCCAGGGGCGGCCCCAGGGCGCTCCGAGATGCTCAAGGGAGCCCCAAAGGACCCCAGGAGGGCTCCAGGAGCCCCCCCCCCAGGAGGGCACCGAGGTGCCCAAATCGCTGTGGTTCCTAATGTTTCTGAAGAGTGTTGGCACGCCCGACTGTTCGGGCTCTCGGCGCTCCAACACGGCCCACGAGGCCACCAAGACCGCCCCGACGCGGCCCCCCGAAGCGCCCACGGGCGGAGCAAGTGGACCCCAAGATGGCCCGCGAGGCCCCCCGGGATGACCCCATCGGGCCCCCAAGGGTGGCCCAAGGGAGGCCCCAGAGGCAGGAGCGCGAACCGATACTTCAAGCCCTGCCCCAAGATGGCCCCCGAGACAAGAGGCCCCCCACGAGCTCCAGCAGGCCCCCAAAAGGCACAAACCAGGCCCCAAGAGGCCCCCCACGAGGCCCCCACGAGGCCCCCACGAGGCCCCCCACGAGGCCCCCACGAGGCCCCCACGAGGCCCCCAAGAGGCCCCCAAGAGGCCCCCATGACACCCCAAACCGAATCCAAGAGACTTCCAAGAGGCCCCCGAAGAAATCCCCACAGGCATCCCCGGTGGCAGGATGGGCCGAAGGCTACTAGACCTGGGCCGGCACGGGAACGGAAAGAGCGCTTCAAGAACTTGCCCGCGATAACTCGCGCCACTGTGCGTAATCACAGCCTTGGCGCTGGAAGCGATGTCTCACACCATTGTGCGTAATCGCAACCTTGGCGTTCGAACCTCGTTACGTCATCGTTCTTAGCGAGAGCCTTGGCGTAAAGAGTTTTTCGCGTTACCCTTCGCTCTTGAGAGCCGTGGCGTTGAACGACTTGTCACCTCCTCCTCCTCCTCCTCCTCCTCCTCCTCCTCCTCCTCCACCTCCTCCACCTCCTCCTCCTCCTCCACCTCCTCCTCCTCCTCCTCCTCCTCCTCCTCCTCCTCCTCCCCCTCCTCCTCATTCCCCATCCATCCTCCACTTCCCCCCCCTTCCGCCTCAGCCTCTTGGGAGTGGACCTCTTGGAGGCCTTTGGGGGGCTGGCCAAGAGGGCCCCGAGACGGCCCGAGAGGGCCCCAAGACGACACCAAGAGAGGCCCAAGAGAGCACCACGAGCCTCCCAAAAGAGCCCCTAGAGGCTGCCAAGAGAGCCCCTAGAGGCCGCCAAGAGAGGGCCCTCTTGGGTCGTCTTACCGGTATCGGGATAATTCCGTATCTCCCCGCTTTCGCCGTTGGGAGCTTTGGCGTGGAGAGCTTTCTGCGTTACCGATCACTCTTTATTTGGCGTCACTGGGTCTTCTGGGCCGTCCTCTTGGGGCCTATTAGGGGCTCTTTTGGACTGTCTTGGGGCCCTCTTGAGCCGTCTTGGGACCTTTTAGGACGTTTGGGGGCCTCTTCGAGGCCTGTGGCCGTCTTGGAGCTCTCTTGGCGGCCTCTTGGAGCCCTCTTAGGAGCCTCCTGGGGCTCTCTTGGGGCTCTCGTGGGGCCGTCTGTGGACCTGGGGACCCTCTTGGCCAGTCTTGGGGCCCTCTTTGGCAACTTTCGGACCCTTCCGAGGACCTCTCCGTTCGTCTTGGGACGATATTTGGAGCATCGGAGGCTACTTTGGGCCGTTCTTGGCCAGAAAAAACGAAAACCCCAAAAACTTGCAAAAATACCCCCCCAAAAAAAAACAACAACAAATTATCCGGGCGAAAGACCCAACCATATGCAATTATGAATACCGCAATTGTGAATACCATCTTCGCCCGCGCTCCCTATGTGGCCACGGCTTCCCGCCGGAGCCCGACATGCTCAGGGACACGTTCGTGGTCGTCTTCGCGGGCGCCGACGACGACAAGGACGGCGTCCCTCTCACCGAGGAGCAGAAGCAGGAAAGGGCCTTGAGAGCCATGAGGGAGGAGGTGGCGTTGCACGTCGACAAGGCGGAGTACGACGCCCAGGCGCGGTTGTTGAAGCAGCACAACTATGGGGCCACGATCCTCGTGAGGGGTGTGCCGAAATGGCCCGGGGCCGCCATGCGAACCCTGCCACTGGCGCCTTCGGTGGAGCTCCATGGGGCCACGATCCTCGTGAGGGGTGTGCCGAAATGGCCCGAGGCCGCCATGCGAACCCTGCCACTGGGGCCTTCGGTGGAGCTCCCTATGGGGCCACGATCCTCGTGAGGGGTGTGCCGAAATGGCCCGAGGCCGCCATGCGAACCCTGCCACTGGAGCCTTCGGTGGAGCTCCCTATGGGCCACGATCCTCGTGAGGGGTGTGCCGAAATGGCCCGAGGCCGCCATGCGACCCCTGCCACTGGCGCCTTCAGTGGAGCTCCCTATGGGCCACGATCCTCGTGAGGGGTGTGCCGAAATGGCCCGAGGCCGCCATGCGAACCCTGCCACTGGGGGCCTTCGGTGGAGCTCCCTATGGGGCCACGATCCTCGTGAGGGGTGTGCCGAAATGGCCCGAGGCCGCCATGCGAACCCTGCCACTGGGCCTTCGGTGGAGCTCCCTATGGGGCCACGATCCTCGTGAGGGGTGTGCCGAAATGGCCCGAGGCCGCCATGCGAACCCTGCCACTGGCGCCTTCGGTGGAGCTCCCTATGGGGCCACGATCCTCGTGAGGGGTGTGCCGAAATGGCCCGAGGCCGCCATGCGAACCCTGCCACTGGCGCCTTCGGTGGAGCTCCCTTATGGGTCACGATCGTCGTGAGGGGTGTGCCGAAATGGCCCGAGGCCGCCATGCGAACCCTGCCACTGGCGCCTTCGGTGGAGCTCCCTATGGGGCCACGATCCTCGTGAGGGGTGTATGGCCGCCATGCGAACCCTGACTGGCGCCTTCGGTGGAGCTCCCTATGGGGCCACGATCCTCGTGAGGGGTGCCGAAATGGCCCGAGGCCGCCATGCGAACCCTGCCACTGGAGCCTTCGGTGGAGCTCCCTATGGGGCCACGATCCTCGTGAGGGGTGTGCCGAGATGGCCCGAGGCCGCCATGCGAACCCTGCCACTGGGGCCTTCGGTGGAGCTCCCTATGGGGCTACGAAACGCTGGGCTGGGTGGGTGAAACGCAAGGAGGAGGGGGAGGGGCAGCGGGAGGAGTGGACGCGGGGCGCTGTCTCTTCAAAACGAGGACCCAACACCACAGGATGGTTGGGAAAAACAATAGAATGTTGTCTCCTCGGGCGCTCTTGGAAAGCCTCTTTGTGGCTACTTGGAGCGTCTTTGGGGCCTCTTCGACCGCCTTTGAGCCATCTTAGGGCATCTCGGGGGTTTCTTGGAGCGTCGTGGAGCTAACTGAGGCCGTCTTGGAGCGCTCTGGGGCCGTCTTGGGGCCCGTTCTGGGCCCCCGCAGAGGCTATCAGACTTTTCGACCGGCCGCCCCCCCCCCCCTGAACCTCCTCCCTTGGGCTGACGCCCTACCAAGAACGGAACCGCGTGAACGCTCGTTCCGTCATCCGCCGCCCCCTGTGTGCTTGCCATGGGGGTGCCCGGCATGCTAGACCCTTTCGGTTTTGGCTTTGGTTTTGGTTTTTTTCCGAAAGAACCCCCCTGGGGCTGCGGCCCGGGTCCCGCCGGCCAACCGGAAGGGCGCGCAGAGATGCACAACAGGTGGTTGCAAAGAGTTTTTCGGCTCCAGACGGCTCCAAGATGGCCTCCAAGATGGCCAAGATGGCCCAAGATGGCCTCCAAGTTCGCCCAAGATGGTCCAAGATGGCCTCGAAGACGGCCCCAGAGAGTCCGGGATGCCTCCAAGTTCACACAAGAAACACCTAAGACGGCCCAAGACGGCCCCAGAGGCCTCCAAGAGGCCTTCACAAGACGGCCCAAGAGGCGTCGAAGAGGAGGTCCCCCGGGGTCCTCAAAGACAGCCCGAAGAGGTCAAAATCATTGACTGTCTTTT